AGAGAATAATAATAAAAATAGTCATAATCCTAATAATAATAATAATAATAATCATAATCATAATCAAAATCATAATCATAATAATAATAATAATGATAACAATAATAATAATAATAATCAAAATCATAATCATAATGATGATAATAAAAGAGACCATGACATTAATTATAATATTAATAATGATAATAATAACCATAATAGGCCAACTAATAATAATAACAATCATCATTATCATCATCATCATAATATCCAATATAATAATAATAGCAATAATAACAGTAATAATAGAATGTGTTCATAAACATGTTTAACTGTTCTTAGCCGTGGATGCAACATTAACATTTGTTACAGAAGCATAATATAGCATAAATGTGAGGTAGCGTGGTGGAATCAGGCTCTCGTCAATTTTTGGGCATGTAGAGTTATTGGTATCATCTTCAAGCTTGTTCACTTGTCTTTTTTTGGATGAAAAAAAGTATCCAATTATCTTGAATACTTGTCAAGATATTTACGAAACAAGTAGGTGGGGGTCACCTGTTTTCAGCGGTAAAATTAGTGAGAAACCGGCCGCCAAAGGTTAGTCATTTCCCAAAGCTTAAGAGTCCGATGTTTTTCAGAAATATCCACACAGAAATGAGTTCTTTAATTGCCATGAAAGGTGTTGAGCCAAAAAAAAAAAATTTAATAAAAATTAATAAACCTGCGGAGAAAGGCAAGTTTCTTCATTTTGATTATTCTGACGAGAGCCTGATTCCACCACACTGCCTCACAAATATGCTAGCTGTTTAAGTGTTGCTAGCCACAAACTGTGTTAGCCAGATCAGATGTTTAACTGTTCTCAAGCTATACAATATAATAATATGTGAGGCAGCGTGGCGAAATCAGGCTCTCGTCAAAATAATGAAATCGAAGAAAACAGCAGTTTTCTCACTACTTAACAATTGTTATCAATTTTTAAATTTTTGACTCAACACCTTGTATGTCCATTTACAAACACATTCCGTTGAAGATTTCACCGAAAACGTTGATTAAAGGCACAAACATATTATTATACATTTGCAGTTTCCATGTACTCTCCAGCTTTGGAATTTACCAAGCTTTGGCGGCCATTTTCTCGCTAATTTTACCTCTTAAATCAGGTGACCCCCACCTCATTCAATCCCAAATATCTCTACTTACAATGAAGATGGATGGGTAATTTTTTCATTGAAAGCAAAACAAATGAACAAGCTTTAAGATGATACCAATAACTTAATATGCCCAAAAATTGACGAGAGCCTGATTCCACCATGCTGCCTCACATATAGAGTCTTGCCAGGCTGTAGTGTGTTAAGCCCAGTTTTTTTTTTACTTTGTTTTTGTTGTTTGTTTGTTTTGTTGCAGGGTCTGTTTTGTTGTTCTTGTTGTCTTTTTTTTGCTGGGTTTTTTTTTTTTTTGGGGGGGGGGGGCTCCTTCTTTTTTTTAAAGGTCAACAAGATGTTCTACTGTTCTAAGGTGTAAATTTTAATGAAACACAGAGAGACAGAGAATGCTGGAAAGGAGCTTAACTGTTTTAAGCAGCGAATGCAATATTTTGTATTGGACACACATGGAATCTAGCATAAGCAAGCAATTTAAGATGTTGCAAGCCACATACAGTGTTAGCCAAATGTTTAACTGTTCGGGGCCCTATCATAAAGTTTGGGCAATGTGTATAAATATTTTAAGCCAATGTTTGTATTTTTAAGAGTTGGCAAGAAGTTCTATTGTTCTAAACCATGGAGAAAGGGAAGGATAGAGAGAGAGAGAGAGAGAGAGAGAGAGAGAGAGAGAGAGAAAGAAAGAGAGCTTGCTTGATTTGTTGCCTGTTTGTATGATTGGACATTAATTTTCATGTTTCTATTTAAGAAGAGTTTTTCAGCACTCGCAACACAAATAGGTC